GTTGAGCCTGACTGGGTTTTGCCAGAGCAGGCCAATATTTCTTCTTTAGGCTTCAAATTTGTATCATCATTTTGTCATTAACTTAACATCTTTTTAGTGATGGATGATTTTTACTGAACTATAAGCCTTACCGAGGCATCATTAGCAATTTTCTTTCTTGCAGTATTTCTAGGGACTAACATAGTACCGGACCATAAGAGTGCTCATTAAATATGTATTCTAGAAATAGAGAAGTGATATTTTGTTAAATATTAGCTGGGACCTGTGTAGTATGTATTCAAAGATAGAATTTCATACATATTTCAATGACAATATGTTTTCAACTAGGTAAATTGAAAGTGATGGTGTTAATCAATAATTGACGGTGTTATCAATCAATTTCATGTTGTATGCATGATAGACTGTAGCACTCATGCAGATGTGGAAAGGGAAGGGAGTGTAAAAGGGAGAGAATGCCGTGGTAGAGGCTACAGAAGTCTGTCATCCAGCCTACAAATCTAAACAGAAATCTATTTTCTCCACTAGGAAATGCATCTCAGCCACTTTCCCCGCTGCTGGGACACAATATGGGACATCCACAGCTTAAAGAAGGCAACGTTCATTTTGGCTTACACTTTTGGTCTGTAATGTCCTGAGGCAGGACATTAACACATGACACACTGGTTGGAGAAGTCAGTGTGACCTCTGCATAACAAAACGCCAGAGTGTGTGCACAGAACAGTTCCCAAAGCCCTGCACGCAGAACCAGAGAATGCAATCTGCAGTCCTCCTGGGGAGACTTCAAGTGGGACAGCCTAGACCTGACATCACCCTGAGGAGCTGGAGATATAAAAAAGACAGCCACCACTGAGCTTTGATCACTCTGTTCTCTTGTTCACAGTGGTCCCCTCACCCCCTATGGTGTACTTGTTCTATTTTCAATGGCCTGCACTCTCTATGCAGAGCATGTTTCCTTTGCTACCTTTAATAAATGTAAGACTTCACTACTTTCTGCACTTGTCTTGACAAATTCTTTGTTCAGGACAGAAAGAATCTAGAAAATACCTCCACAAGAGACACAGAACTCCAGAACCTGACAAAAGGCTCACTTAAGGCAGGAAGGCTGGATGGAAGGTCCCAGCCCGAGGAAAGTGTCTCACCTCATGGTGACCAGGAAGCAAAGAGCCAGGAAAGGGGCCAGGGAAGCAGAGGCCCCTCTAGGTCACTCCCCCATGACCTGATTCTTAGGACCAAGCCTCATCAAATAACAGCACATTAAGTTATAGTGCCCCCAAAATTCAATCACCATGCTAAATCTCCCTATGAGCACAAGATGTTTTTAATGCACATCTAGATATAAACTGTTAAAGGATGCCATTTTATTTCTTATTATCCTGTCATGTTTCTGGTCGGCCAAATAGTTGTAGTAAACTGGAATTTGAGAAGACTGTTTCACTACATTCTAAATGCTACACCTTCCCTTTGCTTGGCTTTAAGGTATTTCAGTTTGCATTCCATTAATAACCACTTTCCAACCATGAAATGGGACCATACAGGTATGGCTAGTAAACTATCATAATCCAATGTGGGAAGAAAATACTAAAATTTTTCAAAGGCAAATTACTTTATTATGAAAAGGATGAGGGATAGCCTAATCAGATGTGGAAAAAAAGTTTCAGATTTAATTAATTCTTAAAAACCATCCTCTCACCAGGCTGGATCTGAGGGTCAACAAGGCTGATATAAGGAAAGCAACCCTTTTATAGAATAAGTTCAGGGCTTTATTGACTCTCATCCTGGGAAAAGAATTTTCAGAATAGGTCTGTGTTGTGACTTTGTCTAGCTGCCCCCACCAAAATCTTGTGCAGTCATAGGTGGTCATTTCCAGAGGTGGTTGAATCTAGAATGTGTGATGCTGGGATTTGTTCATGGTGTGATACTAGGGGGCACTAGAATTAAGGATGCTAGTGCTACCCACCCTAAGGAAGGGTCACCTTAGGACATAAGGGAAAGAAAGAGTTCTGTTTGCCCTTTGTTTCTTTAACTACCTTTTGCTCACCACATTTTTTCCTTTTCAAGGCCCATCTGCTAAGCCACACTGCCTTGGAGCCAGATGGTTGTGGACTAAAACCTCTATAAACTATGAGCTAAACAAACCTTATCTCTTTCAACTTTGTGTATAAGGTATTTTATTTTAGTAGCCAGAAAAGGAAGATAACCTGTAAGAGGCAAAAGAAGGGTTTATTGGACAGGGATACAGAATGTATCCAATAGTGTAGTTCAGGTGTTTAGAGAAATGAGACCCCACAGTTAGAATTTTGAAATCCTTATGTATTTTGGGTGGAGGAAAACTATGGAATTTGATAATGTATAGTCTTAGTCTTTTCTAGTGGGTAGGAGAAGATGCCCCACTTTTAGTAAAATAATTCTCCACTTACATGAGAAATTCTAATTTCTAGGTGAAAAAGGTAGTCTATTCACAGGTGAAGGCAGACCACTTGCAATTAAAAATGGGGCAAAAAAAAAAAAAGGGACAGCCATATAGCTCAGAGGATTAAAGTGCCAGCAAGCAGGCGCAAGGGCCAGAGGTTCAATCTCTATCCCTGGGCCTGGCATGCCAGCCCCATCCCCTGGGCGCACTGAAACAGTGATTGAGACTGGGAGTGGTGGTATGTGCCTGTAATCCCAGCACCTAGGAGGCTGTAAAGGGGAGAATCACTATGAGTCCGATCTAGTAGTGAGACCTTGAACACTCTTCCCTGGGGTTCAAGGGAATGGGGCAAAAATGGGGCAAAGGTGAAAGGGAGTTGCATAGGTTCACTGCTTTGGGAGAAGAGAAAGAGAAAAAAAATAGTAATAAAATGGAATCTTGTTCTGTAATTGCAGCTCTTAAAGGTACAATTTTTAGTCTCAATTTCTTTGTCTCTTTTCTACCTTGTGTTTATTTCCCCAGTCCTATCTCCACCCCTGCGTAAGTGTAACAGGCTTTTGTAAAACTCACTGCTCTACTGTAACAGAGGCTTAAAGCTCTAAACAAATAGTAGTTATTTGCCAATCGTTAATCTTTATGGCCTCTGAAAGAACAGTAGTTGCTGAATTCACATCAAGCATCTCTGTGTATCTGGATACCACGCAATATACCTTTCCAAGCTAAGGTGCACCGAAGAGTTCAGTATCTGTTCATCCCTTAATGAAGAGGTACTTCTGTCATTCTGAGTTTAAGGGATATCTGAAGTCAACTATTTCCATTTGCATAGACTTACAAGGGAAGATTCTAGCAAGTTTGAAATATTCTGACGACCACATAGTACTTTACAACTAATATTTAAACGTTTTGAAGGGGAGGTACATAAGAAAATTTATGTGGATTTCATTAATATTTGTGCATGCCTTATTGCATTAAAATGTTATTCCATACTGCATTTCAAATTGAGAGAGAACTTATTTTAATGTATGCGTTTACTCTATAACATTCTTATATAAAATAAAATGCTAAATTTCTTCTAGATTCTAAGATCCTTCAGGTTTTCATAAAGCTGACTCTTCAGCAAAGGAAAAAATATTTCTTCTTTTTTTTTAAACAACAACAACCACACACACACACACACACACACACACAGCCAGCCAAACAGATTAAAACCCCTTTCCTTCTAGGACTCTGATACAGAGTAAATTAATCACTGAGAATTTTTTGAGGAGAGTTTTGCTAGACTTCTTTTTCTAATTCTATCTTTTAGATACATAATGTACTTTCTTCTATCTCTGGACTACTACATGGAGATTATGAAGCAAAATTATGGTTCATGGAAATTAGTCAATTCCCCCATTGTTTTTACAATTACTGAATGTGTGAATTCATGCTCTGGATCTTGTTATTGTGCAGGGCAGTGCGTGTAGTACGTATTTGCACTGGAATCTTCGTAGCTTGCAGTTATACAGGATTGATTTACAGTCTGGTAAAGCAAAACAAAAATCTACAAAAGGAAAGCTGGGGCAGCTCTACGAAGATGAGGGAAAGTGTGAGTATTGGGAGGGGTGAAAAACACTCTGCAATGGAGAGACTGTAAAAGAAACCCATTAAACGTGCATTATAATGTGTGCCCTACTTTTTTATGTTGGGTAATGTAAGGAGAGGAATTAGACAACAGAGACGCAAGGTAATGGACAGTAGCCCTGTCCTTCCATCGTCAACGTCCTAGATCTGAGATCGCGGTCCCGGATTATACAGTCTTTTTTCTTTCTTTTTTCAGTAGCTGCTCAACCCGCTGGCAAACACCACCCCTGCCCAGGCAGCTGTTCCAAGGGGCAGGCGAAGGTTGCCCGCCTTGAGCTCCCTACTGGCGCCTTCTGGACAGACAGCGGGTGCCAAAGAGCGCCCCGGTAAACAAACAGCTGATGGGGGGCTACACGGGGTTCATGATGCACACGCATGATCACAGTCCGACCAGAAAGGGGAGAAATGGGGGTGACAGTGTGCCGCGTAGGTCTCCAGGCCGCGGCAATGGAGCGCGCACAGGTGCCGCCGGCCGGTGGCCTGCAGAGCGGTCCGCGGCTTCTGGGGCTCAGGCTCACACGCCGTAGCGGCGGCTGAGGACGATCCTGGGTGAACCCCAGCCCGAGCCTTGGAGGAAGAACCCAAGGAAAGGGCGCGAAGGGGGAAGCTAGGTAGGCGGGGGCGGAGGAGAGAGCCATCGCTTCAGCCTGGGTTTCTGCGAGCTCCGCGGGTGGGAACGTTCCCTGCGCCCGTTGGCGCCTCCCTCCTCCCCTGCCGACTCCGGACGCTCGTCTTCCCCACTCCCCTCGCTCACCCCCTTCCTCCTGGCTCTCCCCTCCCTCCGTCTCTCCCTCCCTCCCTCCCTCCCTCCCGCGTGCCGCCTCCCCTCCCCCCGCCGCCCTCGTCTTGGGCGGCTGGAGCAGTCCCCGCTGCTTCGGCGGAGACGGAGATGGGCAGCCAGCGCGCGCGGCGCAGCAGCTCCGGACCCGCGGCTCTCCCCGCCCGCAGCTCCCTGGGCCCCCGTCGCCGCCGCTGTCGCTGCCCTGGTGTCCCCCGACTCCAGCGCTGCTCCTAGGACGGCGCCGCCAGCGCCTCCCGGCCCTGCCTGCTGCTGGCGCCGCGCAGCCCTCGTGCGCGCCCGGGTGGCGCTCTCCCCCAGGACCGGTGAGTAACCCGGAGAGCGCAGGGTGCAGGGCGCCGGGCTGTGCGCGGAGAGAACACCGGTAGGTCCGCGAGGCCATCGAACCACCTGCTGGGGTCCCCAGCCTCCGGGCGGAGGGCGTCCGGGGGTGCTGCTCTGTGCTCGCCGGGTCTGTTGTGGGTCTCAAGTCCACCTGCCTGGCACCTGCGCCCTCTCCCTCCCAGGGACCGGCGCAGGCGTCTTGGCCCCCTCTGACCTCCCAGCTCCAGAGCTGCCACACTAACGACAGCAGTGCATGGCCCCAACCCTCGCGTGGCTTCTAACAGGGTCATCACTGCCCCCACGGTCTCCTATCCGGGTGTTCTCACTTCTCCGCCTGTCACTGTGTGCAGCCCCTCACCCGTGCTCGCGCGCGCCAAGCCTCCACAAAGCCCGCCCTGACCCACCTTCCTCCCTTGCCAAAGCCTGGCTCCGGCGCCCACCGTGCTGCCCGACTCCTTCCCTCCGGGGAGCTGAGTCCTCTCCATGAATGCCGACCTCCCTCCCTCCCCACGAGGCCGCCTCTCCGCTCTTCTGACAGCCACCTCGGGAAGCGGACACCTGCACGTGGTGGTCGTGCCTTCCCCACAGTCAGCGTGATCCCAGCACCCGGGCTGTCTGGGAGAGACCAAGCGCCGAAAAAGAAAGAAAGAAAACAAGCTTTGTAAGACTAAACTTTTTGTTACTGTTGTCTTGAAGCACACAACTAGTTACACTGCTCCTAGTGCCTGTACTCAAGTGCAGGGCGCAGCTGAGTGGGGGAACGCCCCTATTTTTACCTGTTCCATCCGGTGTCGGTCTCCTTCCTAGGTTGAGAACAGCCCCTGACTGGGAGGTGAATTTCTCTCAGCAACTACACTGTCAAAAGCTCTGCAACTCTTGAGGATAAGCTTTTCCTTGAAGAAGAAGAAGAAGAAGAAGAAGAGGATGGCATCAAACATACCCTTTAAAATCTTCTTTGAAAATGCAATAAGCCAAAGATCTTATTTTTTTCTTTAGGTTTAGTGGCTAAGAGAGGGATAGAAAAAGAATTAGAAAACATTGCATGGAGAGGCGCCTGCACTCTCTGGGTGCGTCCGGGGTTGTGTGGTATCTTCTTATCCAGACAGTATTTCCGTAGAAGTTTTCTACTCTGGCCTTTTCTTCAGAAACCAGGTTTGACATCTTCCTTTTTCTATTTGGCTTGAGAGAAAGTAGACAGCTGTACTTAATGAATGAATATGAGCAGCCGGGTGAGGGAATTAGTAACTGGCGAGGTAATGTGAATATTAAAATGTGTGTTCCCAACTCCTCATGCGTGGAAATTTGAAAACCTACTACCCTCACACACCTTGTGTTTTATATTTTAAAACGTTAAGAGCATATTGATTTACCGTGACGTTTTATTCTGTTGAATTCTTCATCTTAAAACTTATGTTCCATGAATGCAGAGAAGAGTATTGAGAAAAAAAAGGTTAGAAACTTCAAAAGATGGCCCCAATTTCACAACAAAGTGCATGAATATAAATTTCTTCACATTATTATAAACAATATCAGAGGACTAATAATTAAATTGTCCTTCTTGCTCTAGCAGCTGGTAAGAAAAATGTTACTTCCTTACCTGAAAGTTGGACGTCTCTGCCTACACAAGAATGAAAGGCAAAATTGAGCAACTCCATTGGGGAATTTGTTTAGTGAGCACTGCTCTAAAATTTTTACCTTCTCTAATGTCAGGAACTTTTGACTTGTTTTGTTTTAATCCAAAATACACACCAATTTTATTTATCGTATTTATGTACACATATGCAAAAATCAGTGATTGGTGGCTTTAGGTACATGTCAAGAGGTGCTAAGAATAGTGACTTTATTGTTGATTTTCAAAATTTTGAAATTTTGTTTACCTTTGGTGTTTCACTAAGAACATTTAAAATATGGATGAATGGATGGATGGATGGATGGACAGATGAACGGATGGATATAGATATAGATATAGATTCAGATATATAGATATATACTTACACTTGCAATTAATGGCAAATGCTCAAATATAGCCATGCCATGTGTACAATAGATAAACTAGGAACAAATTCAGATCATCTAAATTTTTCTTTAAAAACATTTACACTGCAGGTGACAATACAGTGTTTGGTATCTAAAGTATGCCCAATAATAATAACAAATACGTATTGAAAAACATACCAATTGAAATCAAGGGAAAGCAAGAGTAATGCCCACTAATCCATCATTGCTCATAATGATATTAATGATCAGTTTAAAGCAGTATGTTATAATTCTATCTTACGTCAAATACTAAAATGGTCTCAGGATTATCTATGAAAATACAAAATAATGGGTCATAAATTATGGCAGGAATTTCTGGTAAGAATTATCAGCAAACAAGAACTCTTGAACTTCCAGGATTTAATGTCATTGTCATTAACAGGGCTGTGCAAAGCCGTTATTGTAATACATTGGAAGACAGACACATCTTTTATTGGCATCTTTAAGTACCATTAAAATGCATCTCATAATGCTCATAGCTACATGCCACCTAGAGGAAACGTCTAAAATGTTTGCCCTGGTAAAGAAAAATTTTAAATTGTGAAAGTATTACACGTCATTTCCTCAACATGGCACCACTAATTGACTGCTTCATGTAAAACAAATTCTCCTGGAATATGTGGCAAAAAGAAAAACTGAGGAAGAGAAAGTAGCAAGAAAGGAGAAAAAGAGGGAAAGAAAAAAAAACTATCAATAGTTAAATTTCTTAGTCAAAAATAATGAATAGAAGTTCTATTATTTGGATATTTGGGATAACAGCTGTTTTCTAATTTAAGTTTCAAGAAATGCCTCATAATGACAGTAATGCTGCAACTCCATTCTTATAAGTTAGATCACTGATTTTTATTCAACAAAATACAAAGATGACCGGCAACTTCAGGAAATCTAATTGTCTAATTGAGATAAATAAAATTCTAGATGATTTTTAAGACAAAAATTTGAAAAAAAGAGTGCATATACTCCCACCTAAAATTATATTAGATTAAAAGCAAAGTCAGATGTACTATACACTTTTATGGCTTTTCATACTTACAAATTTGTGAGTCTGTATATTACAATATAAAATATGAATTTTATGCATTTAAAACCCCCAAATTTTACCTGTAAACGTCAAATTATCATATAATTCTAATTTTTTTCTACCTTCAATCTATAAGGAATAGTTTACAAAAAAAGTATTATCATAAATCAAATATGCAAGTGAATATTTCTAACATAACATAATTATTTGATCAAAGTTTTGTGCCATGATGGCTCAGTGGAATAAGCGCTTCCCTGGCAAGCATAAGGGCCTGAGTTCATATCCCCATTTCTGCCAAAAAATAAAAAATAAAAGTTTTGTGGCAATGCTATCAAAATCATATCCTCATGAATGCATAATTGCAATTCCTACACACAGAAATATTTGCATTCTGTTATTCTCTATGAACTTTATAAAATGCAGTCTGTTTAGTTGCAAATGAGCCCCCAGGCATTCTTCATACAAGACATGCAGAATTTAGATGCTAGAAATTATAAGGATCATTCCATTCTTTCACTTTTTATATAACTTGCCCATGTTTCCTTCATCAGTAACAAGTAGAATGCAAGTCTCTGACTCCATTCTGCATCTATCATTTTATAAATTCAAAATGAGCCCCCTCCTCCCATTTTATTTTGAGCAAGTAATAAGAGACATTAGTTTCAGTATTGTAGAGAACAAGCAAAATAAAAGATAACACTTCTCCACATACCATGACAATGTTTGACCTATTAACCCTGAAACTTCTCTGCACTCTTCCTCTAAATTAAAGTGTGGGAAATATTTTTAAAATTACACTGGCCCACCTAAAATATTTCAGTCTTATTTTATAACTTTCATTATGAATTGTTTGTTCAAATTTATTTTGCAGTAATGACATGCTCTGGACACTTCCAGTTTAACTTTTATAAGCAGTTGACTGAGGAACATTCAAAAAAAAAAAAAAAAAAGGGGGGGGGAAGAAAAAAAAAAAAAAAAAAAAAAAAAAAACAGATGTTGCATTCTAAAATCCAAAAGGGAAAGTGCACTTACATTTTTCCTATATGCTTATTTAATCTTTATGTCACCAGCAGAAAAGTTTGTGCTACTATGTGTTTATTGTTTAGTGTTTATTTTTGTATCCATACACTCTGTGTGTTGAGTAGCCAAGGAAGATAAATTTGTTTCACAAAACTCCAAGTCTGCAGTGGAAAGTCCTGGCACTTTTAAATTTTTCTTCACCCATGGCTAGAGGGATCAATGTAAGTGAATGACTAGATCAGTGAGAACCTGTCATCGTTACCGGGTAAGGAAAACAATGAATTTTCAACAGTATATTTGGTGATGGAGGTTCGTCAATGCCACCTCATCTAGGAAGGGCAACTTGGTAATTATGTTGCTTACTCAATGACAGCATCTGGGCCTAGGTTGGGTTACCTAAGTGTGGTCGGTTTGATGGAAGCTAGAGGAATCACTGACCTTACACTGCTTGTGGCTAGCTTAAGACTTGTTTGAAGTTTTCCTTGTTAAAAGAATTGGCCTTTTTTCAACTCATTAAGATGCTGATTTATCTGAAAGGAGAACCAAGGCTTCTGTGACCTAATTTCTCTGGAGTGTAATTCAGCCTCCATAGTGAGATCTCCCCAAATGGCCAGGAATGAAGTTAGGACCATAGACACTTGAATGAACATCACACAGGGTCTCACTCAAACATCTTATAGTTTAACTGGAGACAAATAGCAAATGAAAAACAATGATGAGACACTGGACTCACTTAGATTATTACAGCTCAATGCTACTGAACAAAAATGTCCAGAGAAAAACATAAAAGACCACAATTTAGTTAAAACCTGTCTTGTGTAAAACAGGTAGAGTTATGTCATTGCTATGGTTTTGACATTGAAATAATCCATTTTCTTAAAAATAAAGTTTCTACTGGTTCCT